GGTTAAAGACCTTCTGACCTCACCCCACGGTGCCAACACACCAGCAGCACTTTCACACAGCTCCTGCTGTTTCATCCCTCTGAAATGGACTTTGCAACTTCATGGTCAGCACAAGCAACTTCATTTTCTGCGCAGCCGATGGAAACCACTGGCTGTGCTGCAACTCCCTACCTCTGGAAACCACAGGATGTGCATTTGTTTAGCATCCCAGGGCTTTCGTTTGGGGTTGCGTGTCGCTTGTTTTCCCCTGAGCAGCTCCACAGCTGAATTCAAGGAGACACATCTTGTCATTTTAACAGCCCTGGGAGAAAAGCCCCGAAACTGTGTCACCTTGTTTAACCAGAGCCAAAGGCACATCCCCGTGGTGGATTTACAAGCAGAGCTGCACTCTGCCCAGCGGCAGGTCGGTCGCCCGGAGCTCCCTGCGCGATGCTTGGGGAAGCGGCAGCTCCGCAGAGCCCCGCGGTGCCCACTGCTCCCGCAGCCATCGCTGCAGGGCTGCTGCTGCATCTCTCCCTCCTCGGGAACACGAGCACTGCCAGACAAAGCCTTTTAAATAATAACCAGCTAATAATACGGATCTAGCTTGTGCAAGATGCTGTCTGCTTTTGGGCATCTCTTTTTTTTTTTTTTAAATGTATGATCATATTTATTTTCAAGCACCGAACAGGGCACTTTCATCGTGACAAAAGATCTCCAAAATAATGGGGTTTGCCTTGCTGGCAGACTTTTCAATTATTCAGGTAATACAGAGCTGGCAAGATATGTTGAACAGGGAAAATGAGGGCAGAAGTCAGGAAGCAATGAGGGTGGAAGTCACGCACGCCAGAGAGAAGAGCCATGCAAAATATTCATATTCAAACAGCAATGAAATCTTGAACAATGAGCAAATAATCATAAAAAAATCATATATATCTGAACATACCAACACTGGTTATCTTTTGGGAGACCAGGTCTTGCAGTAAAGCCTCAATTGCAGGATTATGTCTGGAATACAACTCGTACCGATTAATGCCAATGTGGAATTTTAACCAGTTTGGGTAGGAGTCTATGGAGGTTTCTCCAGTTGGCAAAAATTCTTCATGATCTTCATTTTGCCTACCACCAGAAAAAAAAAAAAGAACAACAAAACAAAAACCCCAAAAATTAGGAGAAAGAAATAATGTAACAGGCATCAAGAAACAGGGCTTCAAAAGGTGACAACTTGGGAAGGCAAAGCACTACAGAGGTGGGAGAAGTCCCAGGTTTGTCCCTGTGCTGGCTGAACACCAGGGCTCTGCTCCTACCTGGGGCTAACGGGGAGATGGATTGTCCCCTCCACTCCTCATGCCTTATTTGAAGCCCATGGAAGTCAGGAGCAAAATTCAGAGTAACATCACTGAGCCTTAGCAGAGGCCCTTATACAGCAGGAAGACTGAGCTGCAGGTCTCACATTGTGTTTAGGTTGCATTATGTTGCACACACCTTTTACAAGTTTGGCCCAAAAGACAGCATCATCCTGAACTTTTATTTAAGAGGGATCTGGGTCTGGAAACAAGAGAGTGCAGCAGTAACTTAACCTGTTGTACCCTCTCTCCTCTTCTTCAGAGAGAATGAGAAGAAACTGGATGGCTCTGAACTGGTGGCTAAATAATAAATTTTGGTGGTTTTACCCCTTCCCCAGCAGTAAGATACAGTTACAAAGAAAGAATTGTTTAAAATTACTTTTAACTCTTTGATTTCATGTTAGTTCTGTGAACCTTGGCTGCAGCCAGTGAGGAATTTTTTTTTACAACAGGCAGCTGCATTGTGGATATCAATGATAATTTCACTCTTCACCTACTGGTGATATGATCATGGACCTGCAATCCAGAAGTCCTCTGTGCTTTTAGTCACCTCCAGATGTTCACACATTTGTGACTCTTTTTCTTTTTTTTTTAATTCCGTTTCTTTTTCTGAGATGCCAGAACTTTTACAGGTCATTTCACTTCACAGTCAGTTTTGATTATTAGGTGGAAGGGGCCCAGACAATTCCCATGCTCGTGGGGTGGAAATCAGAAATATTTCTCCTCTCTTTCTAAAGGTTTAGATCATGCTGGCTGCTCTGTGGCTTGACAGAGCTTTTGCACGGTAGAATGCAGCTGTTTAAACATTACAATGTCAGTGTGCTTGGAAGAGGGTGCTGTTGTATTAGACAAGCCTTTTGATTTTTCAGTCACTGAGACTTCTCAGCACTTCTTGCAAGCCAACAGGGCATACGATTCACTGAGGCAACTTGCTCCTTTGAAGGCTGCAGAGCAGCAGAGGTGCTAGGACACCGGGAATTAATTGAGGATGAAAAATGTAAGACAGATCAGATCCTGAAGGCAGAAATAGCTGCCAGGCTAAATGCCTTTGTGATATCAGGCCTGGCTTTTGAGAGAAGTTAATGTGTCACTGCCTGCTCTCACTGCTTAGCCCCTGCACCTCCGGGTGGGGGACCAGGAAGGTCCCTGGGGCCTCCCCCCTTTCTTGCAGTTTTTCCGGTAGCATCAGCCTCTGGCTACAGCTGGAGATGGGGTATATTGGGGCATATGGACCCTTTGGCCTCAGTACTCCAGTCCTCTCCTGCTCCTGTGGTTATTCTGCATTTCATCACATTTTTCTGAGGGCACACAGCCCAGCAAGCCTGCGTACGGTTCTTTTTTTTTTTTTTTTTTTTTTTTTTTCCCCGTGCACACGTTTTGTTTTTTTTAACCCCCTCCC